CAATGTGTAGATATTGCTAAGACAGGCAGCTTGCAGATAACCAATCATAAGATGCTAAGGCATATAAACCAATCCCAAGAATGTTGCTTAGGCCAATCAGGAACTAACAAGCATATAAACAAAAAAGCACATGCACTTCCTCCTTCCTCCCCCACACCCCCCTCTTGCACAGGAGATATGCATAAGCCATGTGGGACTCTACACATGGACTAATAGGCTTTAAGCTCTGGACACTGGCCTGCTCTGGGAACCCCAGCTGCACCTGTTCCAGGACTGGCTTCTCTCAATAAACTTGGTTCCGCTGTTTTTGTCCATGACTTCATTCTTTGATATTGCGAGCCAATGAACTCAGACTTAAAACCCACCCACATTTTGGTTTCCACTTGAAATATACAGAATTATTTTGCAAAATTGAGGTTGTTCTTGGGTAGCATTTATTATAAAACCAATACTTAGGCAATGATAATATATGACTGACATGCAGTTTAGTCATTTCTCTTTACTTTTTTAAAAGCTATGTAAACCCATGATAAAATTAGAACATTATTATTAAAATGGATTAGTGACTTTTCCTCCCCATTCACATCCCCCATTAAGGGAACTGCATGTCCTAAATATTAGGGTTGGCAGAGCTCATCTTCTGCCAATACATTGCATAGTCAAGTAATATAAAAGTCTGCAACACATACAGGATTCTTTGAGCTGTCTGCAAAGAATGATCTATGATTGAAAGAATTTAGTTGTCTTGAATGTTACCTTGTTCTATTTTATACATTTTCATAGTGTTCTTATTTATTATGCTACAACATTTGATGTTTTTTATTACAGTCTTCAAGTTTACCAAAACATAAAAAAGGAGTGTCAATGTGAGCACATGCACCCTCCACTGTTATAGAGTTTATTTGAATTCAGCTTACACGGTTTCAGGGTCAGCAAGCATAAAGCTATTGCTGAAGGGACAGCTCTAATATGCTAGCAAACCTGGACAGCACAGACATAAATTTGTAGAAAGTAGATCTAAATTTGTATTGTATGCCATCTTCAAATGGTTAAGCCTTTTTACTCAATAATCAATATTCCATCCAGCACAATAATAAAACTTAGAATTATTTATGGTAACAATTGAGGTGTACTTTTCAGTCACAAGAGGAATGAAAAAGTTAGTGGAGAGGTGATGTGATTTAATGAAAAGGCCATTGAACAAGCCACAGAGGCACTCAAATGAGATCATAAATGTGAAAGTCTCTGAAAAAAAGATGAAGTATTATGCAAACATAGTATTAATAGTAAGAATCTAAAATGTTCAATTCTAGCAGAATTGGGATTAGCAGAATAACGTTAAACATTTTTCAATACAAACAGAAATATACGGTACCATGGGAAACTCTAAAAACCATGTTTCAACTTCCAACTTGAAAGTATTGCTTTTGTGATCTTAAAGGTTGACCCTTAGCATCCTTTCTACACACAATCTTTTAACTTTGTTTTTATATAGTTGTATTCTGCTGATGTTCTTGTCTTTTTTCCTTTAGGAAATGTTCCTTGGCAACTGCATTATTAAAACTGGACATGGTCCAAAAGAGTTGTCTGAAACCATGGCAAATTTTCATTCAATCTCAGTGGAGTAACTACAAGGTAATTGTCCCAAAGTCATCACACTCTGGATGTCTCAATAAATCTGGCTTGGATAACATGAAAATGTACTTTCATGGAAGCTTGTGAAGAAAGGAACATAATACATTTCCTGTAAAATGCCAAATGACATAGAAATTCCAGAGAGTCAGTGAAAGTCTTCAGAAGTTAATTTAAGAAGGTTTATATCTCTTCATTTTTCTTCTACAGTCTCATGTAAAAAAAGAAGCATAAATTTCCTACATTTATTTATTAGCTCATTGGTATGGACTCATGAATTTTTATTTTGTTCAATAGCTTATAATTCATTACTGTGCTTAATTCTTTTGGTCCTCACATTTGCCCAGATTGGGTCAAGCTCTGGGTCAGAGCTGCCCTGCCCAAGAGGGAAAAGCAGTCACACTCAGCAATGAGGGCTTCAGTGGTAGCTGATCCTGGGCTGTCCCAGATCCTAGAACTACTTGACTGCTATATATGTGAAAGCTTTATAGAGTGTCACCCAAATGCCACGAACTGCAGCTGGTAAAGACATGCCCAAGCAGTCTGGTCAGCAATGCTGACAAGCCTTTTGCTTCGGTCTAATGTCTGGCTTCATCCCACTAAGCCACTCTTCCTGAGTCTCAACTGAACCTGCTTGACCAGCCCAGCCCTCAACAGCACCCACGATTCAGGAAGAGATCATTTGTGTTACCTACTGTAGCATCCCCATGTCTCAGAAGCTATCCCCACTCCACAGCCTACCCCCTTTTTACCATCCCATCAAATCACCCTGGATGAAAAATGTGAAGGGATTGAAAAGTACAGGATTGAGAGTTACAAAATATCTCATGGGGATATAAAGTATAGCATAGGAAATATAGCCAATAATCTTATATAATAAAAGTCTAATATGCAAATCGACCAAACGGCAGAACAACTGGTCACTATGTCGTGCACTGACCGCCAGGGGGCAGACACTCAACGCAGGAGCTGCCCCCTGGTGGTTAGTGCACTTCTGGGAGCACCGCTCAGCCAGAAGCCCTGAGCTGGGTTCATGGCTGGTGAGCACAGCGGCAGTGACAGGAGCCTCTCCTGCCTCTGCGGCAGTGCTAAGGATGTTCGACTGACGGCTTAGGCCTGCTCCCCGCCTGGACTGCGAGAGGGCGCAGGCCGGGTTGAGGGACCCTCCACCCCGAGTGCATGAATTTCATGCACCGGGCCTCTAGTATTGTAATAACTATGTATGGTGCCTGTTGGGTACTGGGAATATCTGGGAGAACACTTTGCAAACTAACCACTGTGCTGTAAATATCTGACACTATTACACAATAATATTAAATTTAAAAGAATTTTTAAAAAATCAGCCAAATGTTTCTCTTGGTCTGCACCTTTTTACACAGTTTCCTGAGACACAAGGAAGAACATTGAAGGGCCACTTAATGAAATTTGAGTTTTCCCAGGGCCTCAGCATCAAATACACCAAGCTCAACTTTATGCTGTGAACAAGCCAAAATTGGTCAGAGTGATGTGCTATTCAGTCCAACTCAAAAGGATACCGTATGTGGCAAAAACTCTATAAATCAGCCAAATGTCTCTCTTGGTCTGCACCTTTTTACACAGTTTCCTGAGACACAAGGAAGAACATTGAAGGGCCACTTAATGAAATTTGAGTTTTCCCAGGGCCTCAGCATCAAATACACCAAGCTCAACTTTATGCTGTGAACAAGCCAAAATTGGTCAGAGTGATGTGATATTCAGTCCAACTCAAAAGGATACCATATATGGCAAAAAAACTCTATAGTTGACGATCCTGCAAGAGATACAACCCTCCCTTTCAGCACACGGGCCAGAGAGCTGATTTGCCAAACATTGATGCTGCTACAGATTCAATCTTTCACTTGAAATTTCATCCTTTCTGGTATTTAAATGACTGAGTGGTGCATGGATAGTCCTCTCAGATTCCCAAATGGTAATGCTTTGTCCCCATGTGAATAGGCATAGACCTTACACAGTTCTCTTTTTTGCTATTTTTCCCACTAACTATTCCACATGTACTGACCCCTTTTCTCATCTCTTATATCAGGACACTTGAATTTGGTCCAGAAGTTTCAATAGCTTTTACTAATTTGGTTTGGTTTTCTGGGAAATAACTTTACAATAAAACATGAGGGTCTTTTGAAGTATATATAATGGATAAAAGAGGAGAAAAAGTGGGAATGGGGCCTGCTGAAAGACTAGCCTTGCTACCCAACCCCATCTTTACACAGCCCCTCAGCAATGGACCATGAACGGCATTAACCCTCACTTGCCACCTCCACACATACACACATGTTCCAGCTCCTTATGGGCTCTGCTGGCCCCTCAGAACACCCAGCAATCAGGAGAATAGGAACTGGCTCTAGCTGCTATAGGAGCCCAGGAGCAGGAGGTCTTTTGGATATTTTTCCTTATTGAACAAACTAACTAACTAACAGCAATGGTGACCCAAGTGATAATATCAGCAAAGTGACTCTCAATTGCACTCCTCTTGATAATGAGTTGAGAATAGGGGTTTCTAACCCAAATGTCTAATGAGGGTCAAACCCCACCGAACTCTGCTCCAGCTCTCCAAGCACACAATACGTACGTGTGGCTACAGTTTTTGTTGTTGTTTGTTTGTTTGTTTCTGGTTGAGAGGTTAGGAGAAGACAGCTGGCCGGAGGGTCAAACCCCACCGAACTCTGTTCCAGCTCTCCAAGCACACAATACGTACATGTGGCTACAGTTTTTGTTGTTGTTTCTTTGATTGTTTGTTTGCTTGTTTCTGGTTGAGAGGTTAGGAGAAGACAGCTGGCCATTTTTCTGACTCCAATTATCACTTTCTCTTGGTTACTGATTCACTTTCCTCATTCAAAATGATCTCTGCCACCTGTAAGCTTGGAGGGATTTGTAGAAAGTTCTGCAAGTGCTTAAGCAGTGGTATTAGGGGTTTCAGAATATTCTCTGATTCCTGGGGTAGACACATCCAAAGGTGACTCTCAGTGAGTCAGATTCTTATATGATTTCCTCCCCACCCGTATGGGCAGAACTTGTGACTTACAACCAACAGAATACGGCAAAAGTGATGGGCTGCCACTTCCATGGGTGTATTGTTATATAAGACTCCATATTATCAGACTCAAGCAAGAGCCTCCCTGCTGGCTTTGAAGAAGTAAGCTGTCATGTTGAGAGAGGACCTGGGAGAGAGGAGCATCCTGGCAAGAAACCGAGGTGGACAGTAGGAGCTGAGAACAGCCAGCAAGAAAGTAGGGATCTCAGTCCTACATCCACAAGGAACAGAATTCTGTCAACAACCACCTGGGCCTGCCAGAGAACCTGGACTCCAGAAAGAAAGACAGTCGACTAAACACCTTTATTGCAGACTCTTGAGACCGTGAGCAAAAGATCTATGTAAGCTATGCCTGTATCACTAACCCTATGAAACTGGGAGATGATATCTATTGCTTTAGGGATCTCAATCTGTGGTAAATTTTCACAGCAGACTGCTTGGAGAAGACTTCGACATTCTCCAAACAGTGAGAAGAGCCTGAAGGAAGAAGAGGGGCCACAGTTTAGCCTAGCCCCTGTGACTTCTAAGTCCAACTTTCCAGGTGTCTCAGTCTTCAAGGGCCCAACCTGATTCCAGGAGGTAGTGGTTAGAGTTTATATATTGTTTTTCTCACTAAGACAAGAATGTAAAAAATAAATAAATAAAAATAAGAGAAAAGCTTCTGAATACTCAGAAGCAGTGACTTGCATAGCCATGCTCACATGCATACACACAGATGCGCACACACTGTCCTTCCTAGAATGCTGTGCCTGCTGATGTTCACTGAGCATTCTCCAGGCATGTTCGCTCCAGCTAGACTGCGGAAGATGGTGATGCCACAGCAGCTCGGAGGCGGTGCAGCAGACCCTCAACATGAAAGATGTTCTACCAGGAGGTAGACAGGAATTCACACAGGAGTGAATTTCATTGCCACCTTCTGAATGGGACCTCAGATCTTCTAGTTCTGGCTCTCCAATTACCAGGCCCAAATTAAGCTGTAACAGAGAAATCCTTTCAGATTATGGCTCTCCAAAGGGATCTACGTCTGAGGTCTCTCACCATATACTCATTTAATCAACATTTAATGAGCTTCTAGTCCTTGCCAGCACTGCTGATGCAGCAGTGGCTATGAAATCCAAACACGGAGAGCTTTGAGTCCAATGGGGGATGCACAGAGGGAAACGACTATTAAAATGCAGGATAAGAAAAGTGCAGGTGCTGCCTGAGCACAAAAGGAGAACACCTCACCCTTCCCAAATGGTCTGGGAGGAAAGTCCCAGACCCCACCAGTAATGTGTCTGAACTGACATGTGAAAGATGAAAAGGGATTGACACCACAGAGGGAACAGGTACCGGCACCCAGAGGTTAGTTTGAGAAGCAGTGGGTGAAGCATGGAGTTTGTAGGTTAGTCATAATAAGAAGGTTCAGCAAGCATCCAGCATGTACTGGGTGGCGGGGCTGTGCAAAGAAGATGGAATGTATCATCTCATTTGATCCTCAAAGCATCCTTCCGGTGAGGCAACTGAGACACAGAGAGGTTAAGTGACTTGCCGAAGGTCAGACCACTGGGAAGTGCTGAAGCCAGGAATGAATGCCCAACTGACTGGCTCCGGGGCCCACACGCTCAACATCTCCTTCCTTGCCACACTCCATAACACAATGAATAAACTGTTAGAGTAGGCACATAGAAAAGTATGAGCTGGGAGAGGCAGCTGGGGCTTGGAGGAAGTAAGTGTGAGATGACAAACTGGAAATAGACAATGGAGGTCCCGATCCATTGAGCAGGAAGGATTGAGAGCCCCTCCAGAATGTGGTCTAACTGGTGGCATAGCACCTACATGAAGGAGCCTTGTAGCTTAAAGATACTTTTTTTTTTTGAGACACGAGGGAGGGGGTGACTTGCTCCTTGCAAAGGGGAGTTCCAGCCTAGAGGGATAAAGCCTCTAAACTCCCAAGTATTGGAGCTCTTGGTTCGGTCTCAGCCAACCGAGTTGCCCACTCAGGTCCTCTCTGAGTGTATTGCTTCCTACAAATAAATCCTCATCTTCTTTTATTATTATTTTCTGTCTCGTGTTTGAATTTATTCCTAAAAACAAGAAAAGCACTGGGGTGCCGAGTACTGTCTCTGGCCAGAGATTACCTCTGTCCAGAGACCCCCTTGTCTACCTCTGACTTAACCACATAGTGTAACTTTGAGTCAGGCCTCTACCCTTCAGCAATAGAGCCAACAACCCGACCCAAAGGTCCAGTCCACCCTACATTCTGGAGTGTCTGACCTCAGAATTTCTGTCCAATTCCTGAGTTCTTGCCAATAACTAGGGCCCAGTCAGACCAGGTTTTTACAATGAGGCTTTGCCTGCCTAGGGCTTCTGGAAGCTAGAATCTTGCCTCTGCATCCAGTCCCCTTGCCTAGATCCTTCATCTCAGACCTCAGCCATCATGCTTTGCCTTCTGTTTTGGCCTTCTTCCTATCTTGGCTCCATGAGCATCCTTAGATTGTTTAGGGGTCCCTGTGCCTCTGTCTTTCTCTGGGGTCTAGAATGGCCTGACTATAGACCATTGCTGAGAGAAAATCATGGACACATAGAGGTGGCCATACTTTTCCCAAGACAGAGTACTGTGGGACAACTTTTCCAATTACAAAACCCGTCTTTGACCTCACTGTTCTCTGAATCCATGGTGCATCTCAATCCTCCTTCCGGATCAGTTGCTACAGTTGGTGATCAAATTCTGGTGCTTTGTTTTTCAGACTATTTTGAAAAGAGGAGGGATGTAATTTCCCTCTTCACGAGACTATTTAAAGATGTCTTGCCCTGCCTGCCCACAAGAACAAATAAAGTAATCAGTGTTTTTTCATCAGCAAACAATAAATCTCTTCTTAACAGTAATTCTATAATCATTGTAGTTACCGAAATAAACAGCTCTGTGCAGACAACTTTGAAAACAAAATTTTCTACCACTACATGTATATTTTTATATATGTAGAAATCCATATATTTTATATGTATACACATTTATTCTGCTTTCATATTTGAATATTATAGAGTAGTATGTTCTTCAATCATAACGATTTTTAACCTGTACCTGATGCATATCTTTCTCTCTCTGGATTTCACTTAATTCCACCAACCCCTTAAGGTATGGGAACTCTTCTATTTAGCAACTGGCCACAGCATTGCTTCCTGAGAATAGTGTGTGGTCTTTTGAAGGATCCTAGTCCCAATGTTAGGATGTTTATTTATGTGTTTACAAAGCAAGCATTGCTTATTGTCTATAAAGATGTTTATACATGACAAATTGAAACTGAATCTTTTTTATGAGAATAAATTAACTGCTGAGTAAATAATCCCCACAATTTTCTACATTTTTGGATATATTGCTGTCCTTTTTATTTAACCATGTTGATGTTTTCAATAT